TGGGTTCCGCCAAGCTGAAAAACATAAACAATTTCTTGTACATCAGCTCAAGTCATTTTTTGTTTTAATTGACCCTTGAAAGATCTGCTTGGGTACAATTTATAAGTCCTCATTTCCAGGGTGCCCACACAGCAGAAGAGTTTGGGGAGGGCGCAGCTGCAAAAATTCCCAGAGCCAGCACCATCCAGGCCAGTGAGTTCCCGGAGGGACCCAGATATCCAGGGCACTTTCCGGGAAGAATTCCTGAATTAATCTAGCAGTTGCCATTATTCCTACTGTGGGTAGGAAACCTCACACAATTTCTCATTCCAAATATATCAGAGGCACCAGGGAAAGACAATGAAACTGTCCAATTAAGTGCTGTTTGTAGGTCAGGACACTTGGGCAGTAGGTGCACCCCCAGGCAGAATCAATGGAACGCAGCTCGCTGGAGGAGCTTTGGGCTAATTATTATGATCTGTCTGCCCAGAGACAGAACAAGTCAGATTAGGCTGACACGTCAACAAGCATCCGAACTCTGGTAAACATTTTCTTATTCTGTGGTGTCATGGAAAGGTCTTCGACCAGATGCTAAACTCTGAAATTTCTTGTCCTCTTTTCCCATGGTAAAGAGAAGATAAATATGTAGAGGGGCCACTTTGACAATTGTACTCAACTTGCCCTTTGAGGGTTCTGCTCCCAACAATCACTGCTGAATTCACTGTGAGAAATGACCATCTGGGGCGGATCACACTGAGCAGGGTGCACACAGAAGATCTCTTTGGCTAGAGCTACAATGTCATCTTAGTCCTTGACAGTCAGCAACTCCTAGAAAATAACCCCATAAGAATAAAACCAATTTTTTTCTAATTTAGATTTATTTTATCTCTCACTCAATATAAGCTTCACCCTCAATGCTATGGTCCAGTTTTGTGTCGGTGTTGAACAGCCATTCCAGCACCTTCCATGAGCAGAAGTGTGAAGGAGGTAAATAGAGAGCTCCTCCCTCCCAAAGCGCAACTATGATAGCCACTATCATTACAAGGTAAAAACGCAATATACAGATATACACCCCAGATAGTTAGTGCATGCCCACCACACAAGTGAGCATTAAATGTGATCTGACTGGCTGATGTTTTTGTTAATTATATATCCAACATGTTTGGAGCATGGGACTGTAAAATGCTTAAAGGTTAAAACAGATGGACTGTTAAGGGTGATAATCAATCACAGAATCATGTGATTTCCAAATCTGAAGAAACCTAAGATAGGCTTAGTTTAGCCACTTCATTTTTAAAACAAGGAAAGTAAGGGGATCTAAAGAGGCTGAACAAGCTGTCCAAAGCCTCTCACTCTGGTAGTGGCAGAGCTGAGATGTGACACCAGAGCCTCTCTCTCAATTCTACTACACTGGGTACTGACCCCTGTCCTGCATTGGGTACTGACCCCTGGTACCCTGTCCTGCACTGGGTACCGACCCCTATCATGCACTGGGTACCAACCCCTGGTACCCTGTCCTACACTGGGCACCGACCCCTGTCCTGCACTTGGTACTGACCCCTATCCTGCACTGGGTACCAACCCCTGTCCTGCATTGGTACCGACCCGTCTTACACTGGGCACTGACTCAGAAGAAACTCATGGGCATGTGCTTTGTTGCACTGTGTCGTGATCAATTGTGTCAACATGTGTGCCTTCCCAACTAGACCATGAGCTCTTTAAGAATATATTCACTGCCAGCTTCTAGTATAGCCAGGGGCATGATAGGATCCCAATAAATATGTGTTGAAAAATAAATAAATGGGTGAATAAGAGAGACCTGTTTTTTTTCCATCATATACAAACAAATGTTGTCATTTTTAGTGATGTCTACTAGTTCTTGATCAACCAGGCAATGAAAAGGATAGAGAGGATGGAAAGGTTGAAAAAGTCATATGAAAGGCAAGAAGGGAAAAAAGGGGGATACATTTCAGGAGGGATAATAACCCAAAAAATTCAGCACATAGACAACATTTCTAGATTGAGTTTAAGAGCTTTTTGCCAAGACTCTTGCCACTTCTGATGTCACCCAGTTTTCAAATAAGGACTTGCTTTAAGCAGTTCCCACATTACTGCTGCTCCTCAGACTCCGCAGCGCAGGACTGACTGCAGGTGAGCTGCACGGGCAAAGCTGCCCTGAGTGTATTTCACCTCCCTGGGCACGTCCTCCCCCCCACTGGGCACTCAGGTCTAACCCATGATGCTGCTACTATTCCTGAGATGGGAAAGTGCATGGCCTCCACTGTGGTCCTGTTTCTGGAATACTCTCCACGTAGAAGACATGCCAGGAGGTAGAAAAGAAAGTACTGACATGGCATTTCAAATCCAGTGACAAGTAAGCAGAGGGAATGGATACATACACATATGGATACATACACATATGGATACATACACATATGGATACATACACATATGCATATGAGCTGGGTTTATCTCTCCTTGCAAATCACTCAACGTCCATGAAAATAAAGGTTAAAATATCTAATTATCAGCCCCTACTCTGAGTCTGTGTTGCTCCTGAAAGGCTTGAATGCTGTAAGTAATTTGATGCTAAGCAGTGTCTGCTTTTAGAAAAATAAATAAATAAGGAATCAAAGGATTCAGGGTCCTAACCATGGTGCGCGGAAGGCTTGGAACTGGAGAAACGCATCCGCCGTGTTGGGTTTCCGTGGGGAGCAACTCCTGGCTGGCCTGCTGGACCGAGAGAGTGTTCTCAGAGGAGAGCGAGCGGTGCTCCAGTGTGCAAAGAAGTCTAGACGTAGGAAATTTAGGGGTGCTTTTTGGAAGTAGTGCTACACAGATGCCAAACAGCCTGGGGTGAGCCAAATGCCCTTGCGGGGAGAGACAGAGAGATCGGCCTTCTTCTGTTTGGGGTGGATTGTGTCACATGGCGAAAGACAAGAATGGAGATCCCGCCTGTCATCAAACATTCCCTTGAGTCGTTGGGAACCTGGCAGAACACCCCGCAGCCCCTGCCCATCAGCACTACATCTCTCCATTCGGTTATTACTCTTCCCATCTCCTCCTTGAACACACCAAGCACACTTACATATTTGGGATGGTGCCCTTAGCATTTCCTTTTTGTGAAATACTTTTCTCTCATTGTCTGTTGAGCAAGTGTCACCTGTCACCTACCCCCAGGAGTAGAAGTCCAACCCTTCTGAGCACGGCCCCTTGATATCGGAGTTTCCGATGAAAACACAACGCAAACACTAGCAGAAACAACACTGTACTCACATAGAGAAGAAACAGAACAAGATCAGTATTAGTAGTGGGCACTGGGCCCCCATGGCCAGGTGGCCCTTTCCAGCAGCTAATGCAGGGCCATTGGCCTGCAGGCAACCCTTTTGCACCACAGAATGAAGGGCCCCATCCCCTGTTTTCAGGGAACAGATATAGCAGTGAGGTTGGCCAGGTACCATATCTCACACACACACACACACTTAAACAGATCAAAGAAGTGCGCATTAAACTAAGTGAAATAAGTCAAAGAGAGAAAGACAAATATCTGATTTTGCTTACATGGGGAATGTAAATAACAAAATAAATGAACAAACCAAAGAGAAACAAACTTACAGATACAGAGAACAGATGATTGTCGGACAGGAGAGGAGTTGGGGGGATGGGTGAAAAGGTGAAGGCAGCCCTGGCCGGTTTGGCTCAGCAGTTAGAGCATCAGCCTGCGGTCCTGAGAGACCTGGGTTCGGTTCCTGCTAAGGGCATGTACCTCGGTTGCAGTTTGTCCCCAGCCCTGGTTGGGTTGTACGGGTGGCAACCACTTGATATATCCCTTTGACGTTGATGTTTCTCTCTCTCTCTCTCTCTCTCTCTCTCTCTCTCTCCCTTCCACTCTATCTGAACAAAAATATCGAAAAATGTCCTCGGGTGAGGATAAAAAAAAAAGACTACACACATGAGCTTGTCTTTCCCAGTAGTGTCCATATGGCCTCTTCCCATTTCCTAACTCTACCCCCTTCTCAGACCTTTGTTGCCACGATCAAAAATGCCTCCATGGCCAACTTTTATAACATAGTCATCTCCAAATCTAATCCTCTGGTCTCCATGAAGACAAAAGCTTTAGATGTTTCCATAACTGCTGTATCCTCAGCAACTACAGCAATGATGGGCACATAGTAGGTGTTCAATAAAAATGTGTTGAAGAGCCCGGCCAGTAAAGCTCAGTGGTTGAGTGTCAACCCATGCACCAAGAGGTCACCAGTTCGATTCCTGGTCAAGGCACATGCCCAGGTTGTGGGCCAAATCCCCAGTGGGGGGGCATGCAGGAGGTGGCCAATCGATGTTCTCTCTCATCGATGTTTTTATCTCTCTCTCCCTCACCCTTCCTCTGTCTCTCAAATCAATAAAGAAAAACAATTTTTTTTAATGTGTTGAAGAGAGTGGTAAGACAGGTCTTACACAAGAAAAGCCTGTGTCATGATGCCTGGAGAGCAGTGAAGGGAAACCTTTCAGGTGCATTCACAGACCAAATCATTCACTTACACTGCATCCAATTTACACGTAGAAACCCAACAAGCCTGCGAGAACGTGATACGTCCAGGACAGCAGATAGCACTATTATCATTCAGTTCCCATCAGGGCTCCAAGCAACTTGCAGAAAACCTGTCTTCTGATATGCAGCACTAATTTGTGTCCTACGGAAAATCAAACAAATTATTTTTCGCCCAAAGGGAGCAGGGTTATTTGACTTCAAATATTTGCCATATGGCTTCTCCCCCATACAACATAGCTGCTAGGCTGAAAGGTAGAGAGAGTGAGAGCCTGCCCACACATTATTCGGAGACCATTCAAAATGAGCGTGGATCTTTGACAGGTTGTCCAATTTCTCGATGCCTTTATCTAATAACAAGTGCTACGTTGTTTGACAAAAGTGGCTTGTTTCTCACCACACTTTATTGTTGCTCTGTGTGTGTTGTCTGTGTTGTGTTGTGTTGTGTTGTCTGTTGTTCCTGTTCCCCACACAGAGTGCAGTCTGGCTCTTATCTCAGCACTGGGTGGTTTACCTTCATTCTGGCCATGGATGCCTGTTACGGCATTCACGTCTACGGGATGATAAACGACACCTACTGCAAGTAAGATCACAGGAAATTATTTTTATGCATCTCCAGTTCTGATATCTTGTCCAAATATCACAATTCATTTTAATACCATAAATCTGAGCAGCAGATAAAGCAACAATTATTTCTTGGTGTTCTTTGCTGACATGACATTTCATTGTCAGTGCATCAGGTTGTGACTTTTGGGAGTGATAAAAAGAAAAATATTTACCACCGCCTAATGTCAAATGTCAGAAGAAACATTTTTTCCCTTAATCAGTGGCCTATCGGGGACTTGCGGCTTAGAAACACAGAACAACTTTAGAGGTTATTTAATTTGCAAAGCAAGTTTGTCATTTCTGCTGTGTTAAACGACTTGATAGATGGCTATCTGCTCAATGGTTATATTTGATCATGAAGGACAAAGTGTCCTGGAGCCTCAGAGAAGCTGACAGCTTAACAAGAATTTCTGGAAATAAGTGTGTAATCTGCCAGATCCTTGTTTAAAATGGGCGTCCTTATCCACACGTATCCATGCTGGTGGGATAGTTCCTAATTAGATAATAAAACAAACCTTCCATGCTTTATCAAGGTAGTGAAATATATGTTCCTACCAACAAGTAGTACAATATAATTCAGCGAGTGTTTTCATCATATTTTCAAAATGGTAATTAAGCCACACTCTTCATGATCAAATATTTCTACCCTAACTCAGTATATTGCAGGACCAAATACTTTACTCTGAAAAATCACACAGCTTCCTCAAGCTCTGGAAGAATGTCGGGCTCTCCAGAGTTTGCTCCCATTAGGCACCATTTCCTCCTCCAAAGGATAGCTATGTGTTTGAATGTAATTGGTGCGATATATAAATTTTATTTGATTTATTAAAGCACTAAGGACCTGGTACATCTTCCTAAAAGCTTTTATACATAATAGTTTTAACTGAGTTCACGGACTAGAGTCAGACATAGGTTTGCAAGTAAATGCAGTCACTCAGTATATAATGGATTCTTGTAAATGATTGCTTCATTCCTCATCTTAATCTTTCTCTCTTTTTTTTTTTTTCCTTTTCTTTTCTAGGACAGAAGGGTATAGAAAAGTCCCCTACCATTACTATGAACAAGGAAGAGATGAATGTGATGAATATTTTCTTCATGAACATGCCCCTTACGGAGGCCACAGGTTTATCACGGAAAAGAAAGTGTTTGCTAAATGGGCCAAGAAACACAGGATAATATTTACACACCCAAACTGGACAGTGTCTTGATGTTGGTTTTTCTGCTCATGCCACAACACTTGACACAAACATATACTGCAACTGTGATGCTAACGATGCTATGATGATGAATGGTGATGATAAAGACAACAGTGGTGATGATCGAGCTCCTATACATTCTCAGACATAGATAATGACTCTGCCAGTAATTTGAACTTGGGATTCCATGCAGGGTGATTGTGCTCATTACATTCTTTCTGAAGGTTCAACATTACATATTGCACTTTATAATTTAACTGGAATTGCAATGAAGGCAAGTAACATGACAGCAGTGACCTAAGAAATAAGAAGATTATTCTACAAATAGTTTCCCAAAATTCTTGAACAGTGAGTAGCTTTTCAAAGCCACGGGATTCATCCTCAGGAGGCAAGGTTATTGACTCTGTGGTCTCTTGAACTTGAGCAGCTCCCCCATCTTAAAGGATGTTTGAGTGTCAAACACGGACCCAAGAAATGCCAGTTGGGTACAAGTATTTTACCACAGTTACTAGTCAGACTGAGGGCATGAAAGGAATCTCTTTCTGACTTACCATCTTCCTACAGTACTTTCTACCCATAGGATTACTTTACTGTCTCAAACACTTCATTCAAAATGGGCCAAGTAGCAAATCTTGATGAATTTCCATCCTCACCACTCTATTCTTACTACTACAAACAATATGACTAAACATGCTACTGCAATGATCTGTGTTAATGTTTAGTTATTTTTGGTGAAGTCCTAAATATTTCAGATGGCTATTTAACATGGAAGATTTCAACACTGTAATAACATATACTGTGAACACATTTATTTGACAGAACCAAAAGTCTTTACTAACTTTGCTTCAACATTCAACCACACAAAAGTGTATGCTTTTTAAACTCATGACACAGGGATAGCAAAGCATATTTTTACATCAGTTTGTATCCTACCATACTTCATAATATATATTTGTATATTCAAATTTCTATTTTATTGGCCCAAGGTGTGTCTTTCCATACATCACAGGATCATTGCCAAGTGCCAACTATTAAATATGGAGAGGAAATGGTTCCTTGAATTAAATCTGACCAGGACTTTTGCCTTCCTGGGGTTTATTCCCCCACAGTGGATCGGTTGTTATACCATAATAACAATAGTGAAAATGACCTTAATGTCCAAAGTGCTCTGTCATATAGAGTCCTTTCACATACACTGTGCCATCGATGCCCTTCACCACCCCATCGGTCCCATGGCCTACACATTCTGACATCTCCTTAGCAGATGATCTGTCATCTGTTGATTGCTCTGATTTTTGCTCCCCCTTACTAATATTTGTGTAGGATAGCATTTATGTAGACTAGTCACCAATTGATTTCAGTGCCAAATACAATACATTGTATCAGAAATATTCAAAAAGTATCACAAGGATGATCTGGGCCATAGACTGAAAACAGGTTCTTTTGATATGTGTGTGTGTGTGTGTATATATATTCTTTTTTTTTTTAATGACTCTATTTGCGGTGGGGGGAAGATGAGGACACAGGGACAATAGAAAGGAATGAAATCAGAGAAATACAGTTTCTTGTTCTAGGATTGAGATGACTGTTCATAATATACTTGTTGCTCATTAAATATTAGAGGGTTGATTGGCTGAGAGGCCAAAAACATCCTTGCAAATGATTCAAAAGACAAAAGCTAGGCTCACCTCAACAGCAATTTGCTGGTCTTTACCAGGGATAAGTCCCATGATTAGTTTTCATTGTTAGGGGCCATCTCGGGCAAAAGCCTCTTGCCTGCTCTCGGCATTTTGAGACCCCAGTACTCATATCCATAAAAATGACCAAGTGCCACTTCCATTGTTGAAACTGTTATTGTTGTTATTCTTTTGTTGTTTCCTTAGTGACTTTTAGTTCTCTGTGTGTTAGTTGTTTGGAGCTAATGATGGATAGAAATGCCCACTCCAAGAAAAATAAACAGATACAAATGTTAAAGTTGTCATAAGGTTGTTTCTCTCCCCTACCGTGATACAGAAGTTCCATTTTTACATAAAAAGGAACCCTGGTTATAAGAATGCTTCAGGGAATGACAATTTATTTAGGTTTTCTGGTCAGTGGCGGTCCAACTCTATTTGTTTTAGACTTAACTAAAGTTAAGAAAACGTTCTTGCTCTCCTGCCTCCCTGTCGTTCTCTCGGATGACAATGTCGCAGTGCCCCGTGTCCCCCGTTCCATGGCAGCAGGTGTGTGTAGACTAAGCAGCGTTTTTCTGTTTTATAATTTTTAGGGATTTTTGGAGGGAGCACAACCCCTTCCCTTCCATCGCCTCCTCTCCCCCTTTTTTTTTCCTCCCTTCCTTTGCCTTTTTCCCTATAATAACCCCAGCTCTACACTTTGTATGGTCGTTGTCTCTTCTCTCTCTCTTTTTTTTCTGAAAGTGAGAAACAAGAAACACATTATCCTCAATTTGGAGACCTCATTACACGACTTCCAGTGTAAACAGCATTTTGATAGACTCATATGGCTTGTTTTTCTCTGCATGCTTAATGTTCTCTGCTTCCATTTCTTCTTTACCCTCAGCTTCCTAATTATAGGGGAAAACAAGATCTAATTTCTCCCATGTTGAGGAGAAAGCTGAGATTTACTGATAGAGAAGAGAATGGTTAAGAAGCAAGTCAAGAGAGAACTTGGCCATGCAAGTTTCTGGTCAGTTCCACAGAAGCTAGTCAACTGAAAGAGATTTCATCCAGCATCAAAACATTGGGAAATTTAACTGAACTCACTCATAGCTAATGTATATGGATCCCAGAAGTGAATTAACATCTGTAAAAAATAAAAATATTTCAATACCATTTAAGGCTTTAACAAAATGAACTATGGAAACTAGCCATAATTGCTGAAATCAGCATAAAAACATGCAAGCTAAAATTAATAAGCATTGCCTGGCTGGTGTGGCTCAGTGGTTGAGCATCGACCCATGCACCAAGAGGTCACTGGTTCAATTCCCAATCAGGGCACATGCCCAGGTTGTGGGCCAAATCCCCAGTGGGGGGCATGCAGGAGGCGGCCAATCAATGCTCTCTCTTAACGATGTTTATATCTCTTCCTCTCCCTTCCTCTCTTTCTAAAATCAATCAATCAATAAATAAAAATGTTAAAAAAAATAATAATGATAAGCATTATTTTCAATTCTGCAGAATCCTAGGGAAAAAAAAAAACAAGGAATTTTGAAAAGGGTTTTAGAATGAATGTTTGCATTCTTTCTAAGTTAGCTTAGTAATAAGAAGTAATGATTTATATTGTTATGATGGTTATATGAATAAGAAACTTTTTAGAATATATGGTTTTACATTTTTATCAAACCTATAAAAGAAAAACCAACATCGGGGAATGTTTGTATGTATGTGCACAGAGTCCGTGTGTGTGTGTGTGTGTGTGTGTGTGTGTGTGAAGGCGTAGATGCAATCCTATATTTTTCACTGATGTGAATGAATCAGAGAAACCATATTTTAGACTTCATCTAAAATTTGTTAGGTTACATTTTGAATCCTGATGCCACAGAGACAGCAAAAATCAAAATTGAATGTACTGATGGCTAAGAATACATAAAATCGTATTCCATGGCTGGCCAGAAGGAATGAGCTGCAGAAGCTGCTAAATCTAGGACTGAGAACACAGTTAGATGCCACGGTTGCCACAGATCAGACCTGTACGTAGAGCAATCTGTACTGTAGGCTCTGCCGACCGCAGTTCAGCTCAAGTCACACCAGGAGCCAATGCGTCAGGGTGAACACCCGTCCGCCTACTTAAATAAGTCTGTCTTTAGCATAAGCAAACTCAGATTTGCATTTTATTCTATGGCTACAGAACTGTGACCATTGTGAAACAAAGAAAATTATATAAGGAGATCGCTCTTTGAGGATTTGGAATAAATCAGCCGATATGGGAGACTTTGCCGACCTTTCTAGAAGTATAAAACCGTCAGAAGGGAATCACTCATTATTTCCTTAGAAAAAAAGATAGCACTAAAGAACTTCACCTGGTGGTGCTAATTGGATGTTAATTATTAGTTCAGTTTAATTTTAATAAGCAAGAAAAAATAGAATCAGATGACTTTAAAAAAAAAAAAAACATGCCCATCCAGGGTTCAATGTGGCATGTCAAGTGCAGAGAACGAAGTCTGTTGTCCAGTGTTTGCATGTCTTAGCACAACCGATGATTTACCATCCCAGGGCTGTGAGGGGGGGAATGATTTCCCCTTAACTGCATTTTTTAAAGGCAAGACTTCATCATTTTAGTCGAATACGTCCATCTCATAACTGAAGGAGCCAGCACTGGAAGTAATCTAGACTTTTAGAGCTGCAAGGAGCTTTAGAGAAAAGGCAATCCAACCCCTCAATCTTCAAATTGAGGAAATAGACCTATAGAGGGGAAGGGACTTGCTTGTGCCTGGAAAACATACTTTTTCTTTTTACTTTAGCACAGAATAGTAGCTGGAAAAACACAAAAGTGACTTCACTGGAAGAGTCTATGCCTAGAAACTAAGGGTTCCAGTTTGTGTCGATACTACTCGTGATCAGAGAAACCCCCACACAGAAGGGTAGAAATATTCACACAACTGAAGGAACGCCTCCCAGTACTGGTCAATAGTCTCTATTACCTCCGTTTGTTGCCAACTCTAAGCCATGTCGTGTTCTTGTGGAATTTGAGGACTAGGTTAAACAATGTCAAAGTGAGTTTCTTAATTGGTTATTGGGGATGCTGTTGATATTCCTAAGAGCTGCAGAGTATGGAGGCTGCTGGTGTAACTGGCAGGTCCTATGGTGGCATCATCCCCAGAGCCTAAGCATCCTCATCCTCATGAGCTGCCTACGTTAGTGAAATAATCCACCTGCACTGATGGGTCAAATGTTAGCCTTTGGTTTCACACTCAGCTCTGCACTGCACATGATCTTTGAGCTCAGATACCCTTCCAGAAGGTAAATCAAAGCCCCAAATGCCCCACAAGACTCAATTACCATGCAAGATTGAAAGGTTTTTTTTTTTTTTACAGTCTCCTCATATGACACTGTTAGAAAAGGAATATTTGAAACCACGGCTGAAACGGCTCCTGCAGCTCAGAAAGGGAATGTTGTCTTGTTGCCTGTTTCTGCTGAACCTCAGAGAAACCACTAGAGTAAAATTCCATGTAAATTGCTAAGGCATCAAATCAGAACTGTCCTTGGGCATTGTAATGATGCAGAAAACCTCATTCTGCTTCTCTTTTTCAAGTTCTCTTTCTTTTTTCTCTTTTCAGAATAGGCACGATTTGTTTATGGAGTGAAAAGCTCCTGTTCTCCATAGATACTTCTCCTTTTGTTCATGCTTTGGATACTTCAGACAAATAGAAGCTCACTTTCATAAAAGTGAAGATCTTGATGAAATACATAGCCAACTACTAAATTCATGTTTGTCTATAAAGTGAGCAGTTTTGTCTAAGAAACTCCAAAGGGACCAAAACCAGGGCATCCCATGGTTCCTTGTTACCGAATCTACAAAGTAGTAATTTCCTTGTGTTTAACTTTGTTGTCATTGCTATAGAGTAAATGCCCATTTCCATTACATAGAGTATATTTTATGCTTCACTCATTTTTCTGAGTTCACATAATGTTTGCTGTAGTCTCTCATTCACTTTAAAAACCTGTAATCTTCCTCTATTTATAGAAGAGACTATAAATGCAGAGTTG